CTTTGTGGAGAGTTCTCCTTGCTTCCTTGTCTGAGGGACTGAGTGAATGTGTGCATGTTAAGACTAGTCCTGGGTTACTAGAGACTGTAACAAGACACAGAGATGATCATAAACACTAGAGGTCATGTAGTCTTCAAAACTTGGAGTTTTTGCCCAGCTTGAGGGAAAGACCTTATTAATACTTCTTTGAATTTGCATAGGAATACCTTAGGAGTATCAACAATGTTAGGAGATCTGGTGGCGTGGTGCCCAAAGCATTTAACTACTAACCAGAAGTTTGGCAGTTCAAACCCACCAGCCACTCCTCCGAAGGAAGACTGGGCAATCTACTTCTGTAGTGATACCATCTTGGAAACCCAAGGAGGGGGTCACTAAGAGTCAGATCCTACTGACTCCAGTGAGTTTTTTTTTTGTTTGTTTGTTTTGGTTTAACGACAACTTCATAGAGTGAGCCAACTAAGACCTGAGAACAAAATCTATCAAAGCAATATTTTTTTTAAGGAGCTCTGGTGGAGCAGTGCCGAAGGCATTTGACTGCTAACCAGAGGGTTGGTGGTTGAAACCCACTAGCCACTCTGTGGAAGGAAGATGGGACAACCTACTTCCATAAAGAGTTAGGGCCTTGGAAACCCAGTGGGGGTCACTATGAGTCAGTATAGACTCAATGGCAGTGAGTGAGAATATTTTTCTAAATATTTCATTGAAATAAAGCTAAACCCATTTGTAGCAGATTCTCTATTGCTGTTTTTGATGGAAAAATCAAGGAGTTTAACAGATCTTATTGCTTTAAAATCTGAAAATATTTACTGTCTGGTCTTTTACAGAAAGATTTTGCCCAACTCTGGGGTAGAATTTACTTTCTTCTCTTATAATTTTGTATCATTATGGGAGGAAATAATAGGAGGTAGATTGGTATGCAGTCACATTGACTTCACCATGCCCTGAAGTGATTTTTCAACTTGTTGGCCAGCTAAAAAAAATTCAACGTTAGTCTTTCCGTCTGTAATCCCCTTCTTGGTCCATGAATGTTTTCAATGCAGATTTTTAGTAAATTATATTGAAAACCTGCCTATTCTGCCTACCTACATTTCATACTAACCAATTATAAAAACTGGAAAACTCATCTATGTTCTATTTAAGAGAAAATTTAGGACACTAATTCTTAGAAAACTTGAATTCCATGAAGAATGTCCCCAGGGTGGGGAGGGGGGTGATGACAAAGACGTACTTGTACAATTCAAAATCAAGCTGCAGGAATGTATTCTTAAAGGCCACAGAATTTTGGGTAAGCTATTTTTATGACCTGCCCACCATTTGATTTTATGAATCACAAACTTAAGACACCATCCCTGAAGTTTGTTTAACATCTCTTGAGTGCTGTTTGACTGAGACATCAAAAGTGCAGCCTGCCCTGCACTTGCACAAAAATGGTGACTCATGTGTAGAGAAGACCATGTCAAACTGAAGGGTCCTTTCAAGATGCAAATTCTTTTATACTAGTTCCAGCTAAATATTGATGGAAATTTTAACTAATTTCTTATAAGGAGTGCATTCAATAATCCTTGTTAGATCTTTTTCATGTAACTTACATTTAATAGCCAGACTCAGAGCCTTTTCTTATGTCCATTTTGGTATTTTCTTTCTTTTTTCTCTTTTTAATGACCTTTTGCTTTCTCCATGATGCCATACTGTGACTAGTCTGGTCTTTGGTCATTGGTATTCAATGCATCAAAACTATTGTTGAAAAGGTCTCCAAATCCAGGTGGAACATATTCAAGTTTGTCTTTGGCTCTTGTAGATTTGCTTTAATTTTCTTTAGTTTCAATTCGCACTTTTATATGAACAATAAAAGGTCTGTTCCACAGATGACTCCTGGCCTTATTCTGACTGATGATTGTTTCTTTTCACAGCTGTAGTCAATTTGATTTCTGTGCATTTCATCTGATGAGATCCACATATATAGCCACCATTTGTATTATTGAAAAAAGACATTAGCAATGAATAAGTCATTAATCTTGAAAAATTATATCATGTGATCTGCAGGTGTTATTTCTATCACGAAGGCTATATTTTTCAACTATTGATTTTTCTTTGTTTCCAACTTTCACATTCCAATCACCAGTAATGATTACTGCATCTTTATTGAATGTTTTGTTAATTTCAGACTGTAGAAGTTGATAAAAATTTAATTTCTAGGTGCTCCAGAACTGTTAATTGCTGATAGATGAGTAACACTAATTAAATCCATTGCATGAAAATTTTCACTAGTTGCAGATAAAATTCTTGTTATATGGTTTGGATATTAACCTGATAATCTCTTTTAATGTAAAGGTATATGATGATTGTATTATACAAATCAAAGTGGAATTTAGGACAAGAAAATATTAGTGATATGAAGAGTTCAATATTAAGATTTTTTCAAGAAATAAAATTCTTAGCTTTACTCATTTTTATTTATACAAAATTCTAAAACTCACCAAATACACTGAAAGAGTGTAGCTAATTTCTAAGAGAAAGAATATTGATATATTTAGCATATAAAAAGGTCATGCAATGAAAAAAAAGATCACAGAATAGAATAAGAAAAAGTTGAAGTACAGTTGTTCTTTACTAGAGAAAATATTAGTATAAGTGGAAGATAGAAGCTCTGGTGGCACAGTGCCTGACACATTTGATTGCTAACCAGAAGTCTGGCAGTTCAAACCCACCAGCCACTCCTCAGAAGGAAGGTTGGGCAATCTACTTCCATTGTGATACTACCTCAGAAACCCAAGGAGGGGTCACTATGAATCAGATCCAACTTGACAGCAGTGTGTTGCATTTGCAAGTGAAAGATACTTGAATTCATAGCTAAGAGAAAATGATAGTTTACATTAAAGCCATAAATGGTAGTATATACAATGGAATTGAAGGACTTGAGTGGAAATGAAGATATGTAGTGGCAAATTCTAAAATTTGATATAGATACATCTCAAACAAATTATTTTGAAAGAATGAAAATTCCTTTCATTAGAAAATATCCTTTATTTACCTTTCTTAGGCTTAATATTTCTGGTTCATTTGAAAATAATATCAGTAAACCTAGCAAGAACATTTTAGAAAGTAAATTCTATTGTTTAGGAAGATATGATATTTCTAAACTTTTATCCACCTTATTATATAAACTCAAACTTTATAAAACAGATTAAAAAAAATATTTTAATAGACTTAGGAAGTGTTGTTATAATTCTCATTAGAGGGAAATTTTTGGCTGCAAACACAAATATCTAGAAAAAAAGAGAATCTCAAATTAATAGCATAATTTTCCCTCCAAGACAATTGTAAGAGAAGAAAAAACTAAACCTAAAGCAAGAATAAGGAAATAAATAATTGATATTAGAACAGAAATTAATGAAACAAGAAATAGAAAAATGATAGAAGAAATCAATAAAACTAAAAGTTGATTCTTTGATAGGACAGAAAAGAAGTGTCATAGGGTTTCCAAGGCTATAATCTTTATGGAAGAGGACTGCCACATCTTTTACCTGCAGAGCAGCTAGAGGATTTGAACCACTAACCTTTTAGTTAGGAACTAAGTGCTTAATCATTGCACCACCAGGGCTCCTTTGAAAAGATCGCCATAAATGGTTAACTTTTAGTGAAACTAACCAAGAGAAAGAGAATGAAGATTCAAATTACTAAAATCAGGAGAAAAAAAAGTCATATTTCCAATGAGTTCACAAAAAAATGCTAAAGATCATTAGGATATACTATGGAAAACTATATTCCAACATATTTTATAACTGATAAGAAATGGACAAATTACTAGAAAAACATAAACTACTAAATTTCTGTAATAAGTAGAAAATCTGTATAGACCAAAAACAGGAAAATAATATTGCATTAGTAATT